CTAGAGTTAGAAAGAAATAGTTATAATAGCTTAGGGCCTACTAATCTTATATATAGCCTATACTTTAATATATAATATAGTAAAATAATATTCTAAAGTATTAAGATAATAGCCCTAAGAGAGAAGGTAATATTATAAGTAATAAGAAGAATTCTCTTCTTAATAAATAATAAGATAGCTAAAGGCCTATAAATATCTATATTAGAAGGTAAGAATTATTATAAGGTAAGAATTACGTAACTAGGTATCTTACTAAGAGGTAATATCTTACTAAGAGGGTAGATACTATAATACTAAGAGATAATAGAATATATTAAATATCTTAAGATACTAGGATATTTAAGAGATACTATATATATTAGGACTAGAAGTAATAAAGATATAAGGATAGATAGATTTTATTATTTACTTTTATTATAGTTAACTTAAATTATACTTTCTTATTAGTATCTTTTACTTAATAAAATAGTTATATATTAGTCTATTAAATAGATTAGCGTTATTAGAACCTCTAGTTATATCTATAACTCTTTTCTATTAAGAATCGCTAGGCAACTCTCACGGCGCTAACTCTAATCCTACTCGCCCTAACCCGGATCGAGCTAGAGAAGTATTAGCACTCCAAACCCCGTGTAACAACTAGTATATAAATACTACTAGAGATATCTAGAGAAATAAGAGGTAGACTCTTAGAGAAGAAGAAAGAATAGTTAAAAAAAAGATTAAAAGAATTAGTCTATAACTACCTTAAATTAGCTAATAATTTAGATAGTAGTAGTTTAATAATAGAAAGGTCTATACTCTTAAGAACTAAGCTTCTCTTAGTCTACTCTTTTAAATAATCTTAGATAGTAATTATTATAAGATTATAACGCGTAAAACTATATTTCTTATTCTTTATCTCTAGAAGCTTATAACGTAAATAAGATAACTTAGCTATAGCTAGAGCTTAATGCTCTTTAGTCTAGACTAGCTCTAGCTCTTTACGCTCATACTTAGCTTAAACTTCTTTCTACTCTTTCTTAGAAATAAATAAACTATACTTAGTATTAACTAAGATATATCTAGTATAATATCTTAAAGATATTTCTATAAAGTAGTAAAGCTTCTTCTTTTTATAGTACTTATACTAAAAATCTATTTTAATACTTTCTTATTCTACTTATATAGTATAAGTATACTTCTATTTAGTTAAAGTCTAGATATAA